ATTGCCTGCTTTGTGCACACTGCAGTAGAAAGAAAAACACAAGCCATGCATGGCACAGTCCGTTAGTTGTCTGAAAAACATGACATGCATCTCCACCATTTTGAATCGGATTGTCAAACTTGTATATCTAAGAGATGATGTATAATGAATATTTAAAATTTGAACATAATCAGTCGAAGCATGGCTGATATGGCCAGAGAAGCATATTCATTAAAACACCATTGGGCCATTTTATTTGCAAAGGAAAATTACATGCATCAAGGGCATACAATGTACAATATTCAAATCCATCTGTAAACAGTCAAGAAATGCTTGATTTTGACTTTTTTTCAGCACAAAAATGGCTGCCATTCGGCCATCTTGAATCAGACTGAAACAAATTGATGTGCATATGTATAATATTATGTATGATGCATGTGTCAGTAATTGGTCCAGGCATGTCCGGAGGCAATGAGATCAATCCACAAGTTCCCGTTTTTGAACTGGGTTCAAACAAGAACTAAAAATAGGAATATTGCAATGAAATTGTTTTATAACTTTATTGGTATCCACACATTGTTTTCTTTCTTTCATGAGGCCAGGGCCTTATTTCATCAATAAACTTCTGTCACTTATATTTAAAAAAAAATACACTGATCATCTAACTAAAACACAGACAAAATGAAGTAAAACACTAGGGACCAGCATGTGAGAGCATATAATCTATAGTGGGAGTTAAAAATATATTATGTAAAACAAATAGTAGCCATTAACAAGGCATATAGAAGTATTTTTAAAGAATTTTCTTGCCCACATGAAAAAAATCAGAATAAAGATTTCACGATGTATTTTACCCCCCCCCCCCAAATCCCCTGCATTAATCTTGAATAAATAGACATACCTCTAAAATATGATATTGAATACGCATTGTCTATAAGGGAGGTAAATCCTGAAGCAAATACCAGGTGAGAATGCTCACTATTCAGTATGATCACTGAAACCACCCACCCACCCACAAATTAATTATATAAAGAAATTCATCTCATTTAAAAAGCAGCAATTATAATTGATCAAATGCATTGAAAATTTAAAAAAAATATTGGTCCAATCAGAAAGTAAGATTTAATTAAGAGTAGCACCATATTCTAGTCAGGGCAATATCAACTTCATTCAATAAAAACAATTGCACACTTCTAGACACAAAAAACAAAACAAGGTAAAAGGTAAACCAATTATATATTAGTAGTTGATTTGTTAAAGGAAGATGCAACTCATATTGACAAGTACATAATCCAGCTCATTTTCCCGTCTGCTTCAATCAATGTTAATTCTTTATCTTTCTTCATGATTCTAAATGTACATATTCCAGCAGATTGTCTATCACTACAGTAATACGTCATGTCTTTGTTAATCATAGCTTGTTATTTTTATCCTTGGAGATCATCACTTATACGTTATACAATTCTTTGTAAGGTAGTGTGACACGGTCAAGTCATTGTTGGGGTCATCTTCCAAAAGCTCTTCCACAGTCTTCTTCCAGATGTCAAAACTAATGCAAGAGCTCTGAAAATAACAAACATGTTTGTGAAGTTAAGTGTTTCTCCTCAGATTAAAATAAGTAGTTCCACTGAGGTTGCTAAAATAAAGCTTCAGGCAAAAACGTGATTAATAACCATGGCCTTAACATAATGAATAAACACAAAGTTTATCTACAGAAAAAGTCCCACATGTGTTAATTTGCAATGAAATGTACTCAATGTACAAATTGAGATAATCTACACATGTGGCAATGGTCACTGGAAGGGCATATCCTGCAAGAGGAAATGTATTTGTGTATGTAATGCATGGTAGACACTATGACAAAGTGACCTTGATATGACGTTGACCTTTCCTTGAGAGACCTTGCCGGGAGGGGTGACCTCCTGCAACTCTGAGATGACCATGACTTGAAGATTTTGGAGATGTGTTTTAGTTCCTCCCACCCTCACTGTTCAGTATCACCCATATAAAAGCAGGAAACGTATAAACCTTGAAAAGACCTTGATCTGAACTTGATCATTTCTGGAAAACATTGGCCCATCTAGTTTTCCCAAAACAATGTGTACTGAGGAAGCCTAGCTTCCAACTGATACAGTTGTCTACTGGATTCCATGCATTATACATAGCCCATATATAATGTATGGTAAAGTAAACAAGCCATGCATGGCACAGTCCCCGTTAGTTATCAAATTTAAGATGTATAGTTTTGTTTATAGTAATATAGCTGGAATATAACCATGTCAGGAATATGATTTTTTTAACATTAAAATGATTGACATTTGTATCTGATCGTCAAACAAGTACTTGTCCATATTGAGAGATATTGTTCTGGAACAGCATTCAAAATCAGCCATTTTGAATACATGTATATATATAACATGATAAATAATGAATATATAAAATTTGAATATAATCAGTCAAAGCATTTAAGAGATATGGCTCTAGAAGCCCATTCATTAAAACAAAATGGCCGCCAGAA